CTTTTTTTTTTCTTTTTCATGGTTTGGAAAATTTTGATTTTCCCATTTAACTGGCTTTTGGCGTTGTGAATGTTCAGACAAATGGTATCAAGGGTATAGCAATTTTAGTTTCTGGCATTTTCTGCTTTTGAAATTTTCATTTTTTTTTATGGTGGTTGTGATTTTCGTTTTGTTTCAATTTTTTGTTGGTTTATGGCATTGTGGTTGTTCAGACAAATGGGTCTGCGAAACTGAAGCAAATCAAGCTTGATGTTCGGCGTGAACAATGGCTTTCTCGAGGTACCTCTATGATCTTCATTTCCACCTGCAAATTGTTCATCTAATGGATGCTGTTTTCATGTTCATTAATCCATCATTGACATTGAATTTACTGTATTGATTTTCTCCCTTTTCTAATGCTGAATGTATGAACAATTTTATACAGATAGAATCAATTTGCAGATTCTTTTTTTTCTGTTAATTCTCTACAAATGACATCGTTTGTCTCTTTTTCTTGCTGCTGCTTTTGTCTTTACTTTATTGGTTTCATCTATGGTTTCTTAACCTGGGATTTGTTTGGATTAAAGTTTGCAAAGTACCTTTTTGGCCTATTCAAACTTTAATAAAAACATGCAATCGATCTGATACAAAAAGAAAAATCACGTAGTTGTGTGCAAATGTCCTGAATTGTTTAAAAATATCACCAAAGTACTTTTAATAAGACTTTGACATGTTCTATTTTTTATAGAGTAAATTACACTAATCACTTCAGAGGTTTCATGAAATTATACAAACTTTTCCTTCTTTTTGCTACCATGTAGCTTAAGTTGTGAGGTGAAGATACGTGGATAGTGTTGTATTTCATTTCCAACAACTTTTTTGCTCTATCAATCTTCAAGGTTACAATTTTTTTAATGTAATTGCACACATATAATATAGATAGATCTTCTTTGTATGAACTTTTAAAATGTAGCCTTAAAACTGAGTGGATCTTCATAGCTTGGCATGGTTAGGTTTGGCAGGGCTGGTGCATCTTATCTGACATATTTGATGCATCATGTGACCATGTTTCGTATTTCACTATGAATATGAGTACGTGAAATCTAAAACAAAGTAAAGCTAGACTGAATTTTATTCATTAAAGGAGTGTAAGAATGTTCATATTATTATATCTTAACTTAAAAGAAGGTATAAACAATAACTAATGAATTGTTTCAAAATCCTTTGGAAGATACTAAATTTTGTTCATCTGTCTGTCACTGTTACATTGTTCTGTGTTAGTCAAAAAGGGAAGTGAAGTTGACTCAAATGGAAGGCTTGATCATTGTCCTTCATCAAAGAACATTGTCATTGAGGAGAATAAATCATCAATCAAGGAAAATAGAAGGAAAAGAGGAGAGGATATTGAAGGCTCTTGCATCCAGGGTAATGATTCAGGATCCATTATAAATAGTTCCGTTCAAAATAGTGTTGATCTTGATGAGTCAGGGAGTGATTTCTCTGGGAGTAGCAGCAGCAGCAGCATGAGTGCTTGTTTATCAGGGAATGTCAGTGACAAAGAAATGGATGGAAGCCTAGATGACTGGGAGGTTGTAGCTGATGCTTTATATGCAAATGATAATCTATGTTCTGTGGTTTCAGAATCTTCTCCAGTTCAAGAGGCTGCCAAGAAGACAGCAGATTTCACAAAACCAGAGTTCAAATCAGCAGTTCATCAATCACATCCAAACCGTCGAGCGTGGAAACCTGACGATGTTCTTCGGCCTCAGGGTTTGCCAAACCTCTCAAAGCAACATGGTTCTCAGTTAAACACAAACTGGCATGGTAACCACAAAACTGTACCTTTTTCATGGCAAACAATAATGTCACAACCTCCTCAATGTCCCATCTGTTATGAAGATTTAGACATGACAGACTCAAGTTTTCTTCCTTGTTCATGTGGGTTCCATCTCTGCCTATTTTGTCACAAAAAGATTGTTGAAGCAGACAGCCGATGTCCGGGCTGCAGAAAACCGTATGATCATGCAGATGGAAATGTTGAATTCGACATGGGAGTCAAGGCTTTCCCCTTTGCACAATCTTTCAGTATGAGTACAGGGTGCTAGGTTCTAGATGACAGATTTTGTTTCTGGAAAACATCATGTAAATGTTATGTTTCTCCTTTCGCTTGATTTATAAGATCAAATTTAGGAGACAAGTTTCATCAATCAAGAATATGAGTATAATAGTGAATAGGTAGAGGTTTAAACCAAGCAGATAAACTAGTTAGATCTTTGGGAAGTTTGATTTGCATTACCATTGTTTTAGTCATATGCTAATGCAGAAAAGATAGTTAACTTTGAAGATTGAAATTTGAATGATTCTTGCTTTCTTATTTGGTTGTAGAATTGCAGTGCACTATATATCCAACTTCAACTTATATGAAAAATAAAACTTGTTTTCTTTATGAATGTTTTGTGAAGACTGTGCTTAGTTGCTTACATAGTAAACATGGTTGTATCATATGACCGTTCGAGATGCTAAAACCGAACAGTCCCACATGTCAAGAATCCGGTCGGTTAAGCATCATGAATCGAGCGGTCTCATCAGTTAGAACTTAAACATGACTTAGAGCTAAAGACGATTATATTAAACCAAAATATGATTATTACAAGTTAGATCGTAACTAAATCGGCCTTAATTTGAAGTCTACTCTGAAATTTACATATATAGGTTGAGGTATTATGGTATATTCATTACCGAAACAATTTGTATTAAATTAACATTGGCTAATAGCAAGAACTTTTTGTGGGCAAAACAATCTTGATGGAGAAAGCTACAATAGAACCAAGATTTTGTTCAATTCAAGAAAGTGGGGTTGTTAGTCTTTTTGGGGTCTTATAAAATTAAAAAAAAAAAACTTCATTCCAAGTCCAACACAGATTAGTCTATTCTATCACTTGATTAAATTTCTGAAATCATATAGTTAAAATATTTAATCATGGTTTAACACCAAACATGATAGTTAATATTTCTACTACCATAGTTTTAGACAGAAATTTCATGTTTCAACTGCAATTTTGTCAAACATTAGTTAAAGAATAAACTATATTTTCACCCTCTTTATTTCGACATTCAACAAACATTCTTAGTGAAATTACACTTTTAGTTTTCTTTTCATTTTTATCTAGGGCTTTCATTTACTAATTTTTTTTCTCACAATTTTAGTTTTTACATTTAGAAATTTCAGAGTTTTTGACAAATCAAGATTTGTGTTTGTATTTAGTTTTTATTTTACATTTTAATCCATTAAATACTTCTTCATAGTGCCTTAAATGGGTATATTAAGTCTAATTTTCTCAAAATAAAAAAATAAAAAAATAGTGATTTACTAAAACTAAACAACTAAAATCGAGAAAAAAAATTAAGAATAAAAATCACGAATTGGAAATTAATGAGGAGACAAAATTGCAATTTAGATTTTTTTAATACCAGTTAAATACTTTTATTACGCATAAATATTGACTTTACAATTTGGAAGTATATACTTTAAATAATTTGTACATTACATTTCAATTTTTCATAAATATATGTTAATAGAAATATTCTTTTTAATATATACAATGGATATTAACAAACATTCGAACTATATATTCACAAATATGATTTAAACATGATAGCTTCATAAATACATTTTTCACATGCAAATAACTTAAATATATACACAGTTTTAATAATAATAATAATAAATATTTAAATTATATTTTTATTACAAAGAACATGTTTCTATAGTGAATAAGATAAAATTAACAAC